AACTAAATCTGCCATAATGCAGCTTCTCACTAGAAACTCATCAGTGAGTAAAACTTTATTTGTTTTACTTTTAATAATATTTCTGTATTTATTTCAAATTCAGTCAAAGTGAAATACAAGTGGCCCTTCGAGGGCCACCATAACGCTCATGTGGCCCTCGGTGAAAATGAGTTTGACACCCCTGACGTACATCATAAGGCCCTATTATTCTTATCTGCTAAAAGCAACAGAAATGCATGTATATAGGAAGATGAGTGGTAAGAAAATCGAGCTGTAATGTTATGACCATGTCAATCCATTCTGTCACTCATCTGAGGCTGATAACTGCAGCCGTCAGGTCAAGGACAGGAGCAGACGTCTCTCTCCCCAGCYACGCTCTGGGGGGATCCCGGGGGTTTCCTTTACCAGAGAGGATAAATAATCCCTCCAGCCGGTTCTTGGTCTTCCCCAGAAGGATTAGAGGCAGCGTTTCTACTCAAAGCTCATCACCACTATCTGTAAAACTGAATCCAGTCATTCTAAAGAGGAAGCTCGTTTTAGCAGCTTGTATTCAGGATCTTGTTCTTTTAGGTCATCTTCTTCATAACAGACAGAAGCTACGCTCTTTTACTGAATAACGTTTGATCTGTTGGTCAGTGAATACGTTGAGACCCAACAAGTCTTATCCTCACCCAGTTAGCTCTCAAAGCTTTTTAATTAGCTTATCTTGTAACTGAATATCTGAGGTATGCATGTTGTCAAATCTTTGTGTTGACCAGATTTCTCCTCTTTTGAAGAAGTACCTTCATTGATCTGCAGCATCACTCAATCAGCTTACAGTTTGTTGCATGTCTGATTCACGTGACAACAGTTCTGTTCACCATGACACATGGATTATGTGACCATTTTTTTGCATAAAGAAGTCCAGACTGTCGCTCAGTTTTCATGGTAAAATCCTGGCAGAGGTTCAGTTGGACTAATTATTTGTCTCAGATGTTTAATTTATTTTAAGTTGTGTGTGCTTAAAATGAACATGTAAAAATTGGAACAGTGGGATTTAAAAAAATAGATTAAATTCTGTTAGATTCAGCTTTTTTTGAGTCTTCCTTTCTTTCTTTCCCCTATTTTCCCATAATCCAAATGAAATTTGGTTCCCACCCCCTCCTTATTTAGAGCTGATTTGTTCATCCCCACTGAATGGATGATTAGGTTTATCATTCCCTTCCTTTGATTAATAATTTAAAACACCGCCAGGATTTTTGATCCGTTCGGTTCCTCTGCTGCTCATTCTCTTTTTGCTCGTTCTTGTCTTTTTCACCTTCATCATTTTTTCTTTATTTAATTTATTTTTTCTTCACTGCTGTCCTCTCCTCTCGACACACTTCCTGGGAAGTGTCCCCAGGCTGTTGTTTTCCAGATGCACCCTCAGTGCAGCTTCTTCCTCATACACAAATACGCTCCTAAAAATGAATGAAAAAACAGCTATAATGATTTTCACTCAGCTTTTACCTGCAGAAAATACATGCTCCCATTCCACTGTAT